CTATCAATCCGTTTAACGGCGGGGGCCGGGGAGGAGCGGAGGCGGAATGCTCAGGCTGCCCTAAGCTGCCAGCCTCGAAAGAAGTGGATTCACGAATCTGCCTAAAGATGGATCAGGGCAAGCACTTCTGTTTCCTCCTGGTTGCCGTGTGCGTAGAGTGGGAGTTCAGGACCAAATATGTCCTCGGGCGGCGCCTCCGTGTTGCGTTACGGACAGGTTGGAAGCAGGCGAAGAGCCAATGCCCTGATCTTCTTTCCTCTTGGCCTGGATCAGCGGCGCGCAAAAGCGAGGAAGTGTCAGACCAGCGGGATGGGGCCGACTCATCCTACGGGGTGCACTGATTCAAGGGTCCATTGCTCGCATTGGCCAATGCTCAGGGTCTCGGAGGGGGGGCGGAGGGGCAAGAGAGGGCGAGGACAGGTAAGCACTGAAAAAATGACTTTATCTTTGGCTGGAAAAGCTGGTACTGTAGTTGGTTTGTTTAATGGGTTGGAAGGGGATCGTAGTGCTTATTCGCAGGTTTTTCTCCCTCCTCATATATCTACTGTCCACTATTATACTGTCAAATACTTTAAAATGTTTTTGTGTGAATATACTCTGAATATACATTCATATACCTTATATGTACATCTTTAGATATAAAAACTGGGACTCTCTCCTGCTTTTTTTTCTAGATCAATTCCTGTGTTTGTGAATGGAGAGAGAAAAAGAGAACTTTTGCCAGCCTTTTAGTTTTGCTGAATGACAACATCCGTTATCCTCCGCCAGCATGGTCAGCCGCTGAAGATGATGAGACTGTTTCCACCTCATCTGATGAGCATCCTATTTGGGGAATTTGCAGTAATTGCAACAAAGAACCCTGTGGCATCTTAAGGACTAGCTTAATAGCATTACCTTTTTGTAAGTGCAGAATATAGTTCACTTCATCAGAAAAAATGGATAATCTGTACAGAATTTCAGGTTGATGTACAATATGCATGACAACCCCTGTGGGAGCTGATATTATAATGAGGAATGGAAAATGAAAAAGAAGAGGAAAGGTAAATATAGATAATAGTTATGTACCATCAAGTCAGTTCTGATTTATGTTAACCCTTTTCAGGGTTTTCCATTTCCTTCTTTGTGTGTGTGTGTGTGTGAGGTGCCCTAAGACTGTGCAACTTCCCAAGATCACACAGGCTGGCTGTACTCACAGGAGGCACACTGGGGATTGAATTTCCAACCTCTGGCTCATCAGCCAGAAACCTAAACCACTGTGTTATATAGATAGTGTAATCTTATATGTTGGTATGAAAATAGGGTGACTTGTTTTGTAACTGTATGGGACAGGAGACTGTTAACTCAATATATGCTTCGGCCCACAGAATAACAAAAGTTAAAAAAAAATACGGAAGGACTTGGAAGCTTAGCTGTACCAATAATTTTTAGAGTTGTAGCTATGTTAGTCTCTGCAAGCATTTCCTCCAGAAACACAAAACAAAATTAAAACATAGCAAAACAAACAAACAAACAAGGATGTTGTGGCATTTAAAAGACTAGCTGCTATATTTTAATGTAAGGTTTCATGGAACATGGCCCACTTCTTCAGACATATGAGTTTGAATGAGTTAGATCAGCCGTTCTCAACTGGGGCCCTGGCACCTTTGAACAGGACCACATACTGTACTGAAAAGAATTCTTCACACACCACCATATAAGGCGCATTATGCAACTCATACAATCCCGATTCAGCCTGTATTTCTTTCTCATTATGTTTATGGTCACGGCCAAAAAAAGAGAAAAAAAGGGTTGAGAATGGCTGAGTTAGAATACAGGGACTATACTGAGGTAGTGAGACTGTAGTTGTGGAACTATCCTGGAGGTCACTGTTGCTTGTGTACAGTTCATTATCATTCCTCCTTAGCCCAAATCAAACTAAACTAAACTTGGAGTAGCCAAAATAAAAACGTTGAGAATGACCGGAATGATCTCACACTTATGAACATGAAATATTGGCTCATATCAGGAAGAGAAGGGAGGCAAGGTATATGAATATATATTTAAAAAGATGTCCTTTAGAGATTTAAATGGTTGACTTTTAATGGCACGTTGTTCCTATAAATGACAGACTGTTCCTATAAAAAAGCATTGATCTTAAAGCCAGGACAGATGGGGGTAAGAAATGTTTAAATAGGATTTGCAGAGTAAAAGAGATCTTCTGTGAAGATTTAAACAGTCTGCAATAAAACTGACACTCCCCAAGGCTAAATTTATGGTTTGGGGGCAGCAATAAGTGGGTCTTCATTCCAAGCAAAGTGTTGGAGTGGGGCAAAAGAGAAAGGGGTGGAAAGAGGGAGGTGAGAGAGAAATGTCAACACTCAGATATTTTGCCATTCCAAAATGATCTAGCCAACAGGGAATTTGAAAACAGACAGGAGTTTTTATCATGGTATGTGAGGATATAATATCATGTGGCAGGAGGATTGTATTCATTAATTGTACAGACACAAATATAACTGACCATTATGGCACCATATCATAGATACACCATATGGTCAGAGATTACAATCTACCCCTGCAAGGATGTGTTTTGTTGAATAGATCATTTAGACCAGTGGTTCCCACCCTTGGGTAACCAAAATGTTGCTGGACTGCAACTCCCAGAAATCCTGACCAGCAGAGCTGGGGGTGAAGACTTCTGGGAATTGCAGTTCAAGAAAACCTGGGTTACTCAAGGTTGGAAACCACTGATCTAGAGTCTACTTACTTGACAAAACAATGGCCCGAATACTGTTGCTCAATGAATACTTGTGACGATGTCATCAACTATGTCCATGCCCCAACCATTTCAGGGGAATTGAAATCTTCCTACTCTTCTTCTCCCCCCCCCCTTTCCTGGGATTCTTCAGGATCTGCTTTGTCATGAGGAAGCCTTTGGGAGCTGTGAAATGGGGAGGAGAATTCTTAAATGCCTGAAAATCTCTGCAATTGGGTTTAAGTCATGGCTGCTCAACAGGATATACCCATGGGATTTTGAGCTCCTTAGAGAAAATAAATAAATACAATAGTGGTTATTGACAGCCAAAACAACAGCAACACTTCCTGCATGGGAAGTGCATGTTGAAACACATGTAGTGAACCTTAATGCCCTCTGAGTCCAGATTATCAAGTTTCTGCAGAGGCCAAAATCATATGTATTCTTAGAATTGCACAGCTGGGAGGAAACCTCATGGATCATCACAGCCTGGCCTTGTTAAGGAAGCACAGTGAGGAGTTGGACTCCCAGCCTCTGTCTCTGCAGCCAGAGACCAAAACCCCTGCAACCTCTTCTTGCGCCCACTTCTAAAAGAACAGCAGAAAACTAGTCAATGACTTTGAATAAGTGAGCTATGGATGAGTGTGTCAGCAGATCAACATCTTTTTTGTCACTGTAAGATTCAGTTACATTTTGTTTGTTAAAAAAAAAAAGAAAAAGTGGCCTAGATACATGATGTTTTGTTTTTGTTTTAAAATTTTATTTAAAATTCATTAACACACCAAGAGAAAAGCGAATAGCTATAGCAATGATCAAACTGCCACTGATTGACTGCACGTGTGCTAGGGATCACCAGCGATGCAAGCCTGTTTCACATGACCACTTGGAAGTATTCATTCATAGTCCGTTGAATGGAACATGGCTGTAGCAAACAGGTGATGTGAATCTGCTTTCTGCCATTCAGAAAAACTCCTGGTGGATGCCCCCCTAATATGCTCTGAACACACCATGTTCCCATTATTGCCTTCTACCCAGGAGTAGCTGAACCTCTATAACCTTGAGGCATTAATTGTTCTGCCAAGTGGCAGATGTATCTGTGAATGCTAAAGCTCAGAGAAAAAGAAAGTATGCCTCCCTTTCAAGGTTTTGTGGAGGGGGCGGTTCTCGCAGGCACTTGATAATAGTAGTGCAGCAGGCATTGGAGGGAGAAGAGCAGCACCTCTGCCTACAGTGTGGGGGAGGATATTGACAACTGTCAGTCACCAGACGGGTAAGCAATTGTTGTCTGAATGGAGGTGCCTCATGATCACAAGACAGCTCAAGGGTTCTCCCAGAAACTGAAATGGATCGTTTTGAAAATTCAGAGAATGAGAAGCAAATGTAGACAGAGAGTGTACACCAGCCCAATTTTTTTAAAAAATATCAGAATATTTCCAAATAATGATAACTAGATTAGATTTAACTTATTTCTAATTGCCATTATATACATTAAAATGAGCGGTACTGGCATATATCCTAGTTTCTTGTGACATTGCTACCTTTCAGAACTTACGTACAGTGGGCCTACCTCTTCTCATCCATTTCTGGTCCTAGTCTTCCAATCCATCCATCCATCCATCCATCCATCCATCCATCCATCCATCCATCCATCCACCCACCCACCCACAAGGTGGGTCATGAAATTTTCTAGATGCAATGCTATGGAGTGCCCAACCAAAAGAATTTTCCCCATCTTGGGGGGGCTACTGTTACATACTTCCAATTGAGATGTCATACAATCAAATATTCAGAGAAGAGAAATGTTGCCTTTTCTTGGACTATAGCTCCCAAAATCCCTCAGCCAGCATGGATGTGGGATTCTGGGAGCAGTACTCTAAGAAAGGCAGCATTGCTTATTGCTGCTAATACTTACAGACTTAGTACTTTCTCTAAGGTTAGCATATAGTTTGCACATAGCTTCTCTTCAGCTGTTCTTCCAATCTTGACAAGATTGCCACTGTGCTCTCTGGTTACATTGATTCAAATGGGCCCATTCTTTAGCATAAGTCACAACTAGAGTAGGCCTATTTGAATACAAGGGACTTACATAAAAGTTGACTTACTGAATTCCCACTCATTCAATGGGCTTACTCCAGTGCAACTTGCAAGCCTGAGAATCAGGGTTTCAGCCATTATGTACTGTGCTGCTGCTGCTGCTGCTGCTGTTGTTATTGTTGTTGTTGTTGTTGTTTTTGGTTAAAGCACTTGTTTATATTAGGAATTTGGTTATTTCTTTTGTTAGCAGAATACAAAGAAGAAAAACTTAAAAAACATGAAGATTTAGCCTTCCCTTGGGACATACAGATCATCCATTTTGTAGTATTTTTAAATCACTCTCTTTAGATGAAAGAAAAGTTGTTGCCAAAGGTCTCCTTATGATCAGAGGGACAAAAATGATGTTCCAGGCTTCATGTTTTCTTCTTGAAGGTGGGAAGAAGAGAACAATCAACAAACAAAGGACCATGAACAAACTGGAAGAGGAGGCTGAGAGAGGTGGGAAAAGCTTTATCAGTCAACTTATTGGCAAGCAGTAAATACTGTAAGAATGAAGTCATTCCCACTCTCATTGACCCTCAGTGTTAAGGCAGGCAAGGGTTCAATTTTTCCAACATTATTTGGGCATAATATGCTGATAGATTACTATGGGTTTTAGTTATAGTCACTCCTTTGGAGATTGATTTTTACCTTGAGGCAAAATCCTCCATTCCCTTTTCATCTGCCCATAAACCCATGGCACATGGCTACCCATTACTTACAACAATCCCAAGGTCTCTGTGGTCTCTTTGCCATCAACAGAGCTTGGGAAATCCCTTTTGAACTACAGGTCCCAGAATTCCCAAGCTATCTTCATTACTTGCAGTGCTGGCTGGCAGACTTTGAGAGCTAGGCACACTCTGGCCGTCAGCTCAAAATTAACAAACTGAAACTCAAAACCCCATCTCCTTTTGTTCACAATGACAGAACCTGTTTCTTTCTATTTATTTATTCTGGAAGGTGAGCAAAGAGATTTCCCTTAAGCTTGAATTCATGGACTGGAGGTCAAGGCTGTGAGCAACTGGGGTTTGTCCCAAGGCACCAACATTTAGAACCTTTTGATGAATATTAGAGAATTAAAGAGCAACAAGCTCTGGCCTTATTCCCCCCCCCCCACAAAAGCATGCACTTTCCTTTTGGTGGGCATCCCATTCTCTCCTTACATTGTCTTAGGAGCCCATGCATCATAGCAGAGTGGGTGGTAGACAGTGATGGTTGCTCAGGGTACCAAAACTGACAGTTACAACTCTACTGAACTTATTTTCAAATAAGAAAAAGAAAATAAAGAAGACAAAAAAATATTGTGGCATTGTAAAGACTAACTGCTATACAGTATTTTAATGTGAGCTTTCCTGAACAAGTCCACTACCCCAGACCTGATATGCTAGCACAGACTTGCATGCCTACCTCTTCTGAAATTGCAACTATGGAATTATTTTTGTATCCAAGCAGACAATTACAACTTTAAAACAGCTTACTTCTTTTACACCCTGCATTAAATTCTGCATTCATAGAATTGAATAGTGTCACACACACCCAGTGTGTGCTTTCACATTCACAGGTCCACCTTTGGACATGATGAATTGAATAGTGTCACACACACCCAGTGTTCCCTGTTTGTTTTCACACTCACAGGTCCACCTTTGGACATGACTTGTTCTTTTTACCCTTTTATGCTGCCACCAGAGGGTATTACCCTCACTGTACCAATCATGAATCTCAGACTATTGCGGCCAAATTTAACAAGGTTTATTTATAGTTTGGTAGGTAAATCACAGAAGAAAAATCATTGATGTCCTTTTATTATTCATTTAATAAATGTGGATTTGATTACATGTAAGCTTGCTGGTATTCATTCATTTAATCAAGGTCTCAATATATTCTGACTGTCTATGTATTTCTTATTACTCTTAACTCTTTTATATTCTCTAACACACCAACTTTCCAATTACTTGTCTCAACACTTCACAATCGTCTCCCTAACTGATTCTCTGTCTCACCCAGTTCTCTTGACTCCGCCCCTCCTGTCCTGTCATAGGCTCCTGCGCTAGAGCTCTAAAATGACTGACAGGAGTGACGTGTGGGCTGTCCCACAGGTTGAATTGAATAGCAACTCTAGATTCCCCTTCAGTACATACCCTAGATTCCCTCAGACAAATAACTTGTTTTCTGACAAGTCCTTAAGCGACATGCATTTTACACAGATTTAATGCTCTTGCTGTAAGTGGTCTGCATATGGTTTACAAAAACAAAAGTTGGAAAAAGAATGAGCATACATGGCAGAGCTATTTTCAAAATGTAGAACTCAAATTAAGCAGCGTATACTATGAAATCATCAAACTAGAATGATGTAGAATTATGTTTGCATTTCAAAAACTGCATCACCCCTTTTTTGTAAGAATTAATTTGTAGGTCCTAAATGTTTCATCAGTTAACATGAACCTGCATTTCTGAATACATGTACACATGTGAATATGTGCAAAATATACACTTTTAGTTACTCTGAGTACAGCAATAAATGTTAAAATCCCAGTCTTAAATATGGCTTACTTGTTAAACTGGTGATATTTTTCCCAATGTGAGAATTGAACAACAGTCATCTGCTCTGTGCATGGCACATTATTAGTAGATTTTTGCATCCAGCCCAGAACCCTTGCTCTCAGTGGGAGGCTTGCCATTCCCTTAAGTAGAATCTGGATGAAAACCTTCATTCATTTGTAGGAAGGCTATACGAATTGACAGCCTGTGACTTAGTTAAAGGAGAATGATTACTGCCATCCGTGTTTTATCAGGAAACAATTAGTGAAAGACAGAAAGAATATGATCACCATACTTCGTTCTTGATAATTCAGAACTATGCTACTCCAACAACCCCACATCCTTCATGCACTACATAGCAGTCTAAATTAGCTAAGGGCAACCTATTCTATAGCACAGGACAAACTAAGTATAATTGTACCTTCCGAATGTGTTGGACTACAACTTCCATCAGGAACAGCCAGCATGGCCAATGGTCACAGATTATGGGGATTGTCATCCAAATCATCAGGGCAGCACCTGGTTACTTATTTTCTTCTAGCCATAGGCTGAAACATGACACTGACATAAACCAAACCTTTCATCTCTTGGTGTGCAGGAGCATCATAATATCAAATACACTCACAAAATATTGATTTACCAATAAGATCTATATATCTATATATAGAATATATTTGGGAAAATTTATTGTTCATCTGTGACTATAGACATAAGTGATTTTTTTTTCTTGGCTTATCGATACCAAACAGGATATCATCAAGAAACAGAAATATTTCATCCTGTGTAAAGAAGAAGCAAACACCATTTTGAGCTCAGTAAGTAAAACACAACAGAGAAAGAAAACAATTAGTTATCTATATATTCATTCCCATTTAATAGCCACAACTCCAATCCACTTGGTACTCCAATAATATAAAATATCAAAGAAAATGTACACCAAGTTTGAGTATGTCATGGTTTATGAGAAATCTACAATTCTCATATTACTCAATTCAAACAGAAGTTTTTTTAATAGAAGATGAATCACAGAGTCATAGAATCATAGAATAATTGATTTTGAAGCGGCCGATGAGACCACTGAGTCCAACCCCCTGCTCCATGCAGGAATCCAGATCAAAGCAGATCTGGCAGATGGTTGCCCAATTTTCTCTTGAATATCTCCAACACTGGACCATTCTGATGTTCCAATTTTCTCTTGAATACCTCCAACACTGGACCATTCTGATATGTAGCCAATATCTGGCTTCCTGTAGCTTGAGCTCATTATTATGTGTCCCACACTCTTAGATGATCAAGAACAGATCCTTCCCCTCCTTTGTAAGACTGTCTTTCAAGTACAGAAACAGATCCTGCCCCTCCTCTGTAAGACTGTCTTTCAAGTACAGTACTTGGAAAGTGTTATCATATCATGAGAAGAGAAGACTCCCTGGAAAAGACCATTGTGATTTTGGGAAAGTGTGACGGCAAGAGGAGAAGGGGACGACAGAGGACAAGATGGTTGGACAGTGTCATCAAAACTAACAACATGAATTTGACCCAACTCCGGGAGGCAGTGGAAGGCAGGAGGGCCTGCCGTGCTCTGGTCCATGGGGTCACGAAGAGTCGGACATGACTTAACGACTAAACAACAACAAATCATATCATGATGAGAAGGATGGTGAGTGGTTGATAATCTGTTGTCTACCAAGACTGAGAAAGACACTGGCTGAAATCTTGTCGCATAGCATAGTAAATTGCACTCAAGGAGGCCCACTGAACCAATGTTGATTTGGTGAGTTATCTCCTCTATGAACTCCATTAGTTCAAATAGGCCTAGTCTAGTTGTGACTTACTTTAGTGAGGTAAATCATCACTACAGTACGCTTATTTCATCCGATGGAATTTACAGAGGAGCTGGTTCACTGAATCCCCACTGATTTAACAGGCCTATTCTAATGCAACACACTACATTAAGCAACAATATTTAAGCCAGAGGAATCTGCATTGCCTGAGGCAAAACCTGCTCCTCCTGTTGACTATAAACTCTGCAGACAACATTTTGAAGCCACCTTTAAACAAAGTAACTTGTTCCCACCATCCCACAAGGATGTTTTTGGGCTTTTCTGTTTCTTACCCCTCGTCCCCAACTTTGTAATGTCAGGCCTGATGAAGAAGCTAGCCTGTTTGTGAGATTTTAATGGCACAATAGAAGTGCCACCTGCCCTTGTTTTTAGATTTTGTCTTTGCTGTTTGTGCAGGTCCATTTTTCAAGGACTGAGATGTAGCTTTTCTCAACTTCCCTCCACCTCTTTCTCCTCTCCTGCAGCCGCTGGAAAAAAAGGTAGCATACAACTGAGAACCATCTAAGCTTATTTATGAGCTGAGATGCAATTCAAAGCGATGTTACCTCAGCTCTTAATAAGCTCAGTGTTTCATAACTGGGTTAGGAATTGTTTCCAACCTGCCCTCCAGTTCTGAAACTTGGCTATGTTGTTCCCCCAAAGCATTATACCCTCCATGTGAGTAGCAACTTGCATCTGAGAACTGATCTTTTGTTAATTATTTTTACATTTTTGAGCCAACCAGCTTTTCAAAGAAGCGTATGAAATCAAATACAGAACAGAGTCCTTGAAGAGTTGATGGGAGGGGAGTAGAATCCTCCCCTCCTGTTCACCCTGTCGGTGAGGGTTTTGTAAGCATACAATGGGAAAGACGATTTTAGCAAATGCCCCTCATACTGTGGGAAAGAAAGAGAGAAAGAGGATGTAATGTAGGCATCCTTCAGTCTCGAGAGACTATGGTAACGTGCTCTGTATGGAGGACTTGGAACAGCGTCTAATGTGGCTGAGAAGGCCAATTCGAGAGTTATAATCTCTTCCACATTGAAGACAAATACAATTGTCCCGTCCAGCTCCCTGGTTTTGCTGGTTTGGGGACTGTCTCTTTGCCTCAGGTTGCTGGACAAGGGTCTCTTCAAATTCGGAGAGGCCATGATGCACCGCCTTCCTCCAGGCTGAACGCTCAGTTGTCAAGTTTTCCCATCTGTTGAGGTCCATTCCTAAGGCCTTCAGATCCCGCTTGCAGATATCCTTGTTTCGCAGCTGTGGTCTCCCTCTGGGGCGATTTCCCTGCGCTAATTCTCCATACAGGAGATCTTTTGGAATCTGACCAGCAGCCATTCTTATGACATGCCCAAGCCAACATAGATGGCGCTGTTTCAGTAATGTATACATGCTAAAAATTCCAGCTCGTTCTAGGACTACTCTGTTTGGAACTTTGTCCTGCCAGGTGATACAAAAAATGTGTCAGAGACAACACATATGGAACATGGTAGCTGCTTTCTCAATGCGTTTATCCAGCTCGACATCTAGGGAGAGAGTGTCAGTGATCGTTGAGCCGAGGTACACAAAGTCATGAACAACCTCCAATTCTTGTGTGGAGATGGTAATAGAAGGAGGTGAGTCCACACCCTGGCCCATGACTTGTGTTTTCTTCAGGCTGATTGCTAGTCCGAAAGAGGATATTCAAATCTGAAACATCAGCCTTGGTTTTGCTTTTAAGACTGAGATGTCAAAATTCAATCTCTCCCACTTTTCAGGTATATTAGTGATACTCCTGTTGCCTGGACTGCCTTCAAGTCATTTTTTTGCCTGAGGCGGAGTGGCACATCCATCCAACCACACTCCAGCCCCAAAGCAAAAAATCAAGGTGCAAAACACTCACAGCCAGCCAAGTTATTTTTAGCATCTGAGTCAGAAAGTTTCAGGAGCAGCTCTTCAACTTTTAAAATATAAATATTACTCACAGGCTCTTTATTTTCAGCTTATGCTACCTGAGACAACCACCTCACTTTGCCTGTCAGTAAGAATGGCCCTTCTTGTTGTGTAATTGTAAGGTGTACACTTTCCAAACAGTACAGGAGGCTGCTGGGGTTCTTATACTCTCTTCAACAATGTAAGTGCTTTCTTCCTTCTGGTTGCTTTGCTCTCTCCATTTAATCTTCTAAAACATTGAACAATGGCACTTTATTATAGATCTCAAGCCAGAAGCTATGACAGTCAATCAGAGGGTTCTCGCCCTGTGAAGGCTCATTAATCAGTTCCTGTGTGAACCACCCTGGAGCCAAAGAACACGTTTCTCATCCAAGACCACCTAGTGAGTGTGTAACTGGACGTTGATTAGAGCTGAAGTTTAAAGTTCAATATTATTCCCTGACCAGTGCTATTATCCCTGTTATTCTTCCACACACAGCTCTCAATTTGTGTAGAAGTGGTTTTAAAGCCCTTCTGAAATATTCTTTCTTCCCCCCCACCCCACCCTTTGAAAAGCTAGTCCAATAAAAAACATATTGGTTGTCTATGTCTCTGCCAGACCACAACTACAAATGCCCTTTACCTTTTCTGCCAAACGTTTGGCAGTCTGGAGATGTAAAGAGTGTGTGTGTGTGTGGGGGGGCAATTCACACAGAACCCAATCCAACAAGACCCATAGGCTCTTGGTAGATGAATAACTCAATTAATTTCAAAGGGATGGGTCAGCAGTAGGTGGACACTGTAGAATTAATTTCCAGAGCATCATCGTCATCCTTCTCATCACCATCATAGTCAATCTTAGAACTGCAGAGCTGGAAGGGACCTTCTGGATTATCAGGTCAAGGAGGCACACTGGAGAATTGAACTCCCAACCTCTGGCTCCACAGCCAGAGACCTAAACCACTGAGCTGCCCAGTATGCCGGAGAAGTTGTATTCTATAGACCAGTGGTCCCCAACCTTGGGCCTCCAGATGTTCTTGAACAACAACTCCCAGAAGCCTTCACCACCACCTCTGCTGGCCAGGATTTCTGGGAGTTGAAGTCCAAGAACATCTGGAGGCCCAAGGTTGGGGACCACTGCTATAGACAACTGGAATCTGGGGAAAGAAAATTAAGGGAAAAAGAAAGAGCCATACATTGTCACAAAATATTGGCACTTTTCCTTACTTTCCCTATTTCCTTTCTTTTAGGAGATCAGAAAAAGGGAATCAGAATCAGAAATCAGAGACATGCTGGTACCATCAAAGACTGGTTGTTGTGCATTTTAGGGGAAGGTTTTTCCAGAAGTTGGAAATTTTTCTTTTTCTATTTCACTACAGTTGCGGAAATTCTCCACATATTCTCATGTTGGCTAGACAATGCTGGATTTTATTACACACACACACAGAGAGAGAGAGAGAGAGAGAGAGAGAGAGAGAGAGAGAGAGAGAGAAATATATATTAATATATTAATGGAACATCCATTATTATAATTATATAATATAATTGCCTCCCCCCAGCAAGTTTTTACATTGCACAATGGAATTGTGGAGGGGCAGGTGATCTCTGAGATGGGTTAAATCAGCAGGAACATTACATTTATTTTATTTATAGACCACCTCATTACTCCCCATTCCTATTCTGGTCAGTTTCCAGGTTAAAATTAAAGCCCCACATTAACAACAATAGGTCTAAAATTCATACAAAGAGAGAAGAAAATAAACATAAACATTAAATTATTAGCATTTTGGAGGATGAGTCATTGAAATTAGCTTTGAATAATTATGTTTTCAGCAATTTCTTGAACATAAGGAGGGAAGGAGCCTGGTGTATCTCAGTTGGCAACTTGTTCCAGTGACTGGGAGCCACCACTAGAAAGGCCCAGTTCCTTTCCATCACCTTTTTGGCCTCCCTTGGTGTGGAAACAACTAACATGGTTAGCAACACAAACTGAGAGGAGTAGGTAGCTGATGGGAGAGATGTTCTGACAAATATAGAGGTCCTAAACAGTTAAGGGCTTTCTAAGTCATAACCAGTACCTTGAATTGAGCATGGAAGTTGACAGGGAACCAATGAAGGCATGCCAAGATTGGGAATGTATGAATGAATTTATTTATCTCAGAAATCAGTCTGGCTGCCACATTTTGCTTTCAAGGGAAGCCTTAGATAGACAGCATTACAGTAGTCTGTTTTTGAGCTTACCAATGTGTGAACCACAATAACTAGACTTTTTTTTTATCCAGGTAGGAGAACAACTGGGCAATCAGCTATAGTTGATCAAAGGCATTCTTGGCCATGGCTAATACTTCAGCCTTGATTGAGAGTGCCAGGTCCAGGAATAATCCCAAATTGCAGACCTGATCTATCAAGGGGAGTGTAATCCCATCGAGGCCAGGTAGGTTTCCCTGTAACCAGTATGATAATCCTCCTAACAATATATCTATGTTATATGGATTCTGTTTCAGTTTATTGGCTCTCATCCAAGCCACTGTTGATGCTGGGCAGCATTCAAGGACCTAATCAGGATCACCTGCTGATGAAGCAAAGAAGAGATGGAGCTGCATGCCAGCAGCATACTGGTGACAGTGACCCTTAAATCTCTGTATGGCTTCTCCTAGAAATTTCACATAGATGTTAAAGAGCACTGGGGAGGTGGTCTACTCTGTAGTAGAGGTCCCATGGGATGAATACAATGTCCCCAAGCACTAATATCTGGGATTGGCCTGTAAAGTAGGAGGATGAAGGCCCTAATTGCTGAACTCGATAGCCTTACCAGAAGGATATTGTGGTCAACGGTTTCAAAGGCCACAGAAAGATCCACTCCCGCTGTCTGCCTGCCCTTAGGAAATAGTAGTGCAGTGTTCAGTGCTATTTCAGTACCATGCTGTGGTTTAAAACCATATTGAAATGGATCTGGATACCATTTTTTTTCCAAGAACACCTGCAAGTACTCAGCTATTACCCTTTCAATTAATTTGCTCAAAAATGGAAAAATTGAGATAGGTCTGCACTTGCTCAAATCGACAGTTGCCAAAAGATGAACATATTTGATGATCTACAGTAAGTAATCCCATAATCTATCAGTTATGGAAAAATTGAGATAGGTCTGCACTTGCCAAAAGATGAACATATTTAATGATCTACAGTAAGTCATCCCATAATCTATCAGTAGATCTAGATATACGTTCTCCCTATTAATGAATCATCTAATTTACTAAAAGAAGATATAGTGATGGCAGCCAGTTTGGATAGCTTTAAATGGAGATTAGACAAATTGGTAGAATGGAGTTTTCAGTGGCTACTAACCATGAGGGATATATATCAGAATCATGATGCCTCTCAGTTCCAGATTTTGAGAAACAAGAAGTGGAAGGTGACTAATGTACACATGTCCAGCTTATTGGCTTCCCATAAGCAATTAGATAGCTCCTATATAAAATACTTGAATTTTTAGATCTAGATATACGTTCTCCCTATTAATGAATCATCTAATTTACTAAAAGAAGATATAGTGATGGCAGCCAGTTTGGATAGCTTTAAATGGAGATTAGACAAATTGGTAGAATGGAGTTTTCAGTGGCTACTAACCATGAGGGATATATATCAGAATCATGATGCCTCTCAGTTCCAGATTTTGAGAAACAAGAAGTGGAAGGTGACTAATGTACACATGTCCAGCTTATTGGCTTCCCATAAGCAATTAGATAGCTCCTATATAAAATACTTTAATTTTTAGGCATTTGTTCGGGTTCTGCAAGTTTCTTATTATTTTGGGGTGTATTATGCCTTTTGTCATTAGTGCTGTATGGAGAATTAGTGCAGGGAAATCGCCCCAGAGGGAGACCACAGCTGCGATACAAGGACGTCTGCAAGCGAGATCTGAAGGCCTTAGGAATAGACCTCAACAGATGGGAAACCCTGACATCTGAGCGTTCAGCCTGGAGGCAGGTACTGCATCGCGGCCTCTCCCAATTTGAAGCGACCCTTGCCCAGCAGGCCGAGGCAAAGAGGCAGTCACAAAAGCAGCAAAACCAGGGAGCTGGACAGGGGACAGCTTGGATTTGTCTTCAATGTGGAAGGGATTGTCACTCTCGAATTGGCCTCCTCAGCCACACTAGACGCTGTTCCAAGTCCTCCATACAGAGCATGCTACCATAGTCTTTCGAGACTGAAGGATGCCTAATCTAATCTAATATGTTCGGGTTCTGCAAGTTTTTTTATTATTTTGGGGTGCATTATGCCTTTTGTCACTAGTTATATTACAGCAATTTTCCAGTGGATGCTTATACCAGCTGCATAATCATATTGTGCACAGCAGACTTAATTGGTGATGCTAGCTAACAAGAAAATCACATTTTATCAGCAACATCACCTGTACTACCACATACCTACGAAAATTTCTTTTTAAAAACTATCAGCAATATAAGCCTCATCAGATTTTTACTATGTCTGAGATGTGATGTTACAAAATAATGAATGGCATTTATATTTCAAAGTGTGTAGTCAACAGTTAATATTACAAGGATTATTATGGAGGATGAGTGAGAATTTCATTTCAATTTGTTCTTGGTAAGAATTTGCCAACATTTGTAAATCTAGTCATATTTAAGATGGAAGAAATGTGGGATTTTAAAGATCCAGATGTGGAAGAAATGGAAACTGGAGGTTATCCACCTCAACTTTCAGGACTTAACTCTTAAAAGTCTGGCTTTGATTCCCTGTGCATTCAATGATGTTAGTGTTGAGGTATGATTGCCAACTCTTCCCCCTCCTCCGCCTCAAATGCTCCTCATTATATAGGAGGCAAATACAATGTAGTTCTCAGCATGCTGAGAAAAATGCATCTATTGAAATTGGTTGGTGAAATTGGAGGACAATTTCCCCCTCTCAGGTTTTGAAGACTGGTCCAAAATTTTCAAATTTCTTTGTATTTGGGATGGAAAGAACTTGAGAAAGGACTTGTGAAAAATCCAACTACAGGGGGGAAAAGAACCTGACAGATTATTCCATTGACGGCTATTACATTTTAATGGCTGGACTGACAGCCATTAAACCCCAGACTGACAGCTTGTACGTAGTTACTACTACAAGTAACATCCTGTATAAACCCCAGAGAATCAAATGAAGGATTATGCTGAAACTGCAACAAGAAGATTACTTCCTAAGCAATGTGCAAGTATCTGTTCATGCCCTGCTTTGCTAATCTGGACCATATTGTGGCCAATTTATAATTAAAGCAATTCATGTTGGTTTAAGAATCACTTTCTATATAGCCTAAGAGTACTTTAATGCACTTCACCTCTAGCCTGTAATTTACTATTTTTAAGAGCATCATGTGCTACAATGCAAAGCTGCTC